GTAGAGAGGGTAAAGGATGGGACCTAGTTGAAAACTCCAAACTTTAACATGTGCGAGGGATTTTCAGATACAAACAAGTATTTTAATACTTAATTCTAGGAAGAATCAACGTAATCATGACTCATTTGAAAAATACTTACATATCTGAACTTTTCGAATGTAGTATTGATTATTTTAGGACGATAGGTTATTTTGAAGCAGGAGATAAGAAAAATGTGCAATGCCGTCGCGGAGACTCTAACCTAAGACCTCTTGAATACGTGCCGAGTGTGCTGACCACTACACCGCGAAGGCATGTTAGGAAGGCAGGAGAAATACCTTATATATGTCCCCTTTTAAAAAGAGACTGGGGATTAAAGAAACCAGGCGCCAAATCCTGGTGGTGGAGAATCATCATCCACCACCTTTTTTAGTTTGAGCGCCAATGTAGAGACATTAGGTATTTTTTGAAGATGGAGATATGAAAAATGTGCAGTGCCCTCGCCGAGACTCGAACCTCGAACCTCTCGAATGTTCTGACCACTATATCACGAAGGCATGCTAAGAAGGCGGGAGAAATACCTTACTGTATTACGTTCTCTGTCATCTCATTTGTCAGATGTGATCAAAATGACAGAGCAGTAAGCTTATAGCAAAGTTTGCGCAACGAATCATCATCAGGTTTTTAACTAACGAAGCCGTCGTTCCATCTCAGATTTATATGAGATTTAAAAATCAGTATGCTTCTATATTTGGCACTCTCGGAAAACTGCTCCAAGAATTTTAGGAGGGAAGAATTCCAGTTAAATGAGCAAAATATTAAACCATGCAAGGATGTGTCGACATTCAGTCAAAAAGGCCTTAATTTTGCTGGTATTTAGAAACTTCTTAGGCACGGGTATTATATTGCAAAGGCTAGTAACTATGCAAGAAAATAATATGTACCACTTGACCTCTTCATTTTATTGAGAAAATTAAATTTAGATGATAAATTCCTTCTGATACTCTTACGTCCCTTTTATATTCTTCTTTAAACCTTAATGTGAGTATTTCAATCCCATTTGAAGTTTGATATTTTAATGGTTTTAACTATAATACAAATATACATTTTTCTTAAAAACCTTATCATAAGATAAATGAAAAAAGTAAAGTGAAATGTACCACCAAAGAGCATTGATCCAAATTGAAAGGTTACAATTAACGTCATCATGCTGGCAACACTTCGACATAAATTCAGATGTGCTTAATTTACAAGGTTCACTTAAGAGCCTTCCATTTACGTTATCTTATTGTCCTCTAGCGAGATAAGTGTAGTCCTTCTGAAATTTATCGGCATCACTGGAATTAAGTACACCGCGGATTCTCTTATCAGTCTTGATGTGCCAGACAATTTAAAATGTCCCCATTTTACGGTTATTGATTCAGGGTATCAGTGGTTAATCCTGCGCTTTTAAGCATTCAGCTTCCATAATGGGCACTAGTAACAGAGGATAATTTTTTTCAGAGCAGGTTTTTTTTTCCTTGAAATGGAAGAAAGAAATGATCATGCATGTAGAGTAAAAGCGTTCTATTTGCTAATTAACTGATTATTGTATCAGATGCGATTAGGAGATGGATTTAGCTGAAATTTCCAGCTGAAGATGATGCAAAGTTTGAGAATAGGATTTATTGATTTGAGCAATAAAACTTTTTAGTTTTGGTTTAAGTACCACATGATAAACTGAAGAAAGATCATTTAAATAAAATGATTTGTTTATACTTTAAAATAAATCTATCGCTACTTAACAAAGTTTATGGTTGTTCGCTATATCGCTAAAGGTTTATATTGTTTGCTATATCGCCCTTTATTTTCGCAACCTTTAATAGCAGATATATACATCCCGATACGAAAGTGTTTTATATGAGGCAAAGATTCGTGTTTTGGTATTTTTAATTTTTTTTTTAATTAAGTTTGTATAAAATACGAAATCTAACTTTTTATACTTTACCCGAATTCATATACTTGTAGTTTATAAAATGTTATACTCATTAGAAAAAGTAAAGCGCAAAAAGTTCGACTTCGTACGAAAAACATTAAACGCGTCATTAAATTTCAAAGTTTGCAATTTCGAAATCATTTTCAGATTGCCTTGAGGGGTCGGTTCATAAATAAAGTAGAATAATATTATAATTTATATTTTTCCTTAAATGCTATTCTGTGATTGTTTCTGTCATTTATTAATGTATCATGTTCTTTAATATATAGTTTTGTTACAACTGGTCCGCCCAAAGAAATTTTACAAAATTAATTTGCAGATATTGAAAGTTAGAAATACATGAATAATATTCTCATACATTTTCATTACTTTAGAATCCTACATTAAAAATTATATAAAAAACTCATTAGACTATTTAATTTATTTAAATAAAGCTACGAGTAGAGGTTTTGACAATACTGAAAACTGTCAATGTTTGCTAGAAAATGAATTCTGTACTATCTCAAAATATGTTGTCCAACATTGTAACTAAATATCTCGGTCAAATGTTTCGTACCGGTATCAAACTTCTCATACTGTAATTTTTATAGCAAGTATAACATATTTCTAAATATGAGTACATAGAAATGAAGAACATACAAAAATTGAGAGTTCGTAAATTTTACAAAATTGATTTTTTAGTTAAAAATGTCACATGAATATTTGTGTCTTTCAAAACGTTTTTGTATCTGGAAGTAAATGCCTACGACAAACTACTGCGAAACTAAAAGCCAAGTAAGAATTTGTTTTTGAAAACGATGCATATACGCGCACTCATACATATTTCAAAACAACTCAATGTGTTTATCTTTCCTTGTATGATAGACATCTAAGCGTCACTGGCAGGACATCCACAGACCTCTTACAACCAAACAGTTGTCCTTTCACAACAAAAAAAAAAATATTATCAAGACCATTTCCGAAAATATATCAGTCAAAATGTCGACTAATGTGGACAGAACGCACAGGAGCAAGGGGATGATATTATAATGTGGTGACCGCCTCAGTCTTCTGAATTTAGTCACCTCGTGAATTGTTTTCGTGGGATTAGTCAAAGATACTGTTTCGGGGAATTTCATTAACCGTTAATCTCCAATATCTTCTCAACTTAGAGGCGATTTGTAAGTTTAGTGGATTGTGATATTCTGGCACACATGTGGAATGACAGCGAGTTATCGTACAATTTTCCACTGCATCAGTAAATTGGTTAAATAAACCACCCTGCTTCATTGAAACATGCAAATAATTTGATGAGTATGCCTTTGTTTCAGTATAATTGAATTCTAGCAGCCCAGCCAGTATAGTGGTTAGCGTCGCTGACTGCTGTGCCGAAGAGACCGGGTTCGAACACTGGAGAAGTCATAGATGTTTGTAAATGTATAGTGTAGGTGCGGCATGGATGCACTCTAAATATGCGGCGAGCCGAAAATCCTATCGTGTAGATTGGTGGAAGGGAAGAGGGGTAGAGGACCCTTGGACCCGTCCCTTCTCCCCTTCCATCAAACTTCCCCACTAAGCTGGCGGAACTGTGACAATTCGCACTGTTACATGTTAGGTTCTCAAGGCTGTTGCCAATGGCAGGCGAAATCTTGCCAGGCTTGCCACAAGGAATTTCGTGGGCGTGGGCTAACTACGTCAGACAAGTGAACATAAGTAACAACAAAAATAATTGAATTCTATAATGATTTTATAGTTTATCCCTTATGAATTTAAAAATGTTTCATGAAATTACAACGAAACTCATTTCAGCTGTATTTAAACAACTTAGGAATTTATACAAAATGTGTTGCATTTTCTGGGACATATCCTGTTGCAGATTACTGCATCGATGACATGACAATGTGAGAACAAGCAGCGTAGACTTTCCCACAAAATATGAGACGTGTTGTCCTTTTGTTCTGACTAGTTTGATTAAAGGAAAATGGCACAGTGGTTTTAGTTTGGAAATGCGTCTCATTCTGGCTATTGCGTACTGTTGCTGACGACTACAACATACGAATCTAAAACTAACAAGCAAACAAAAAAAGAAGCTGAATAAAAATTAACGGCGAAACGGCTACCACTCAACGTCCTGAAATTTTATTCCCTATATTCGTTTCTTTGTATAACATAGCGAAACTTTTCATATTATTCGGATCTTATGCAAAGAAAAGATACTGTTTTTTGTTTTCTAGTTCTTTTGACATCATTCGAAACTTATTCTAAGGAATTCTCACAAAAACTTTTTCCTTTGCTTCTGGCTATTTCCTTTTTTTATTGTTAAGCAGTCATAAAATTCTTCTATCTTTTCAAAGCTGTTTGAAATAACGAACATCCCGTCTCTTTACTATTAGTTTTGAAAGTTGTAAAACGAATGATTAAGTTCTAAGAACTAAAACTTCATACTAATTATGATAAATGAATCGTATACTATTTCAATGAATTTGACTAAAAAGTATCAGGTAATCAGAAAGTAATGCAGTTTTTTAGCTTACGAAAATTGCAATGCATAGAGATATAATCATGTGATTCTGCCTTCAAAATCCTTTAATTATGCAAGAATTTCAAATTCATATTATGAAAACATTTTACACACTTCCAAAAATGTAAGGAAGATAAAAATAAATTGTTAAATGCAACATTTATTTCTCCTTTCAAACGAAATCACAAAAAAAAAAAAAAAAATTAGCAGGGCTGAAATGAGCAAAATTTGAAGGAAAAAGAAATAATGATATTTTGGCCCGCGGATCACGTGTTGCTCACGAGAAAACTCAATGCTAACTATTCGCCAGGAGGTGCTGTGATAAAATCTTGGACTGAAAAATCGCATTTTTCTGCTCCGTCAGCCCTACAAATACTGCTGAATTCTTTTTCCTGTCCTTTGGCTATCGCATTATTTTTAAATCAGATTCTCGCAACGTTTGCGGCATGGGAGATTGGACATTTGGAAAAAAGCTTCTTTGTTTGCCAATGTCTGCAGGAAATATTCGTCTTCGACGTGATGTTCACTGTTTTCTTTTGTTCCAGGAAGGTCCAGGAAAGATGCGGATCTCTGAAGATGGCCTTTGGGTGGACAGCGACGTAGAATTTTTAGATAGTCTGAGTGCTAAAAAAATTCTTGCACATCAGGTAAGAGTTCGCTTTCGGTTAATCTGAATAAGCATGCATACTTAAAATATAGTAGTATAGTTGCATTTGTTCGTTATTACACTTCCCAAAATAATTTAGAATTGGTACTTGAAAGAATAATTAAGACTTGGAAACATTTAATTGCTATTATACAGATTAAAAAAGAAGGCTTGACGTAATTTAGCTTGAGTGGTCAAGTGGATAAAACTGAAGGACGCTGCTAAATGCATGGGTGTTTTTATAGTTTCCTCTGTATCTAAGGTGAATATGAGCCAGTTTTCCCTAAATCTCTTCCCCGAAAGCATTCCTTAGGTAGACTATCCTAGTGTGGTTTGCCGTAATCCAACTAATGGAATCCCTATCCTGCTCACATAACCTTGTCCTACCTTACTTTATTCTGCTAAGACGAATTACCATCGATACAAACTAATTAAATTTGAACACTGAGCTTCATAAATACGGAAAGATTAACAACAACTAAATATCAGGTACTATTAATAACCTGTAAGGTTAAATTCAAAATTGTCAAAAACTCTCTACTTCTGTTTGTGAGTTTCAAGTTAATATAGATGGCACGTATAAAATAGGAATTATTAAGTTGCATATTAAATCTCGATTTCTTCTGCAATCCATATCCTACGAATGCTAGTTGAACTAGCTATATTCTGGTGTAAAGTGATGGAGAAAATAGAAAGGAAAAAAAACCATTACCATAAAAATAACTGATCACTTAAGTAAAACATTTTTAATACATGATGTCCAGTAATAAAGTTTGGAGTATTCTGTATTGTGTATGTATGTTGCACTTTCTCTCGAACCTTTGTAAATAAACGATTCTGTTTAATGTTCCAAAAATGACAGAATAATGAAAAAACATTGTACCTACATTACGTACAATTTCAATGGATGATGCAACCGAAAGAATGCTTTACCATCAAAGCAGTGTATAAGCAATAAAATTTTGGTCTCAATCGCTCACGCATATTTCTGCTCAGAATTGCGATTGCATGGTAAGACAATAACAGGAGAGACTGGACTCCAATGTTACAATACGTTATGCCATGCTCCCTCTTACTGTGCATTTTGTAACTTGTAAACTACATATTTCTTTAATTTCATACAGTTCTGCAGAAGTAGTACAACTCGTGCAGCTGAAACCGCGTATTCTAGACCAGTGGATGAAAGGACATGATTCTGTTACAAACATTTATTTCAATAAAAAAAGTAATCAGTATTTTCCCGTTATGCAATCTCACAAAACATTTTTTTTTTCAGATTTCAAAGCTATATCAAAGTACTTACATTTTGCAAAATACTAATGATATCGTCATCTGCTAGTTTTAATTAAATATCTTATTACCCTTTCTCTGCTGTATTTTTTGACATAAGGTACCATTTAAAATGAGATAATAAACGTAAAGATGCTTGACACTCTTTTTATAATGCATTTCGGAAGAATATTTCTGGTTGTTTATGAACGTGTATGTTTCTACAATGAAACTTTATTAAATGCAACATGGTGTACGTAAAACATATCGTTTCTTTATATTAATCTAACTGCAGCAGCACATAATACATGAGCTCCTTCGCTTATTTATTTAAAATAATTTTTGTCTGCCAAAAACTCTACTTAATTAGCATTTTATCATTCGAGTGTTAGTCCTTCTGTGTTAATTTCGTTTTAATTAAAATTAATCTTTCAAAATTACAAGATATTGTTCTAAAGGAACAGCACCCATGCATAATTCATACACTCTCACAAATTTACTTTTTTTTAAAAATGAACACGGCGCTGCATATGAATGAAATTAATTGTTAAATTATCATTAAGCGGAGTAAGGTGTTAATAACTGCCGAAAAAACTCAAATGTTATTCAGATCTTACTTTGTACTAAAACCAATAATGAGAAGATGAGAAAATATTTTAAAATTGTCGCTTCTTAAATAAATCTTAATTCTTATTTTTGGAAACCGAATAATAGCTAAAATATTAAATAAATTACATTTAACATCACAGACGTATGCAACAGCTTTCCTTGATTGAGAACCAAACGTGGTTTATATATTTGTCTCTTAATGGGTACTGTATTGAATGAGCTAACAAGACGATGATTGTTTTTAAATTCTACTATTAACTCACACTCTCCCTATATCTTGTTCAAATTTTCAAGCCTTATAAAATACTTTATGTTCATCCACTCATGTTCAAATACATTATTTTAAACTTGTAGTGGATGACACTTGATGTTAATACAGTTTTTTCACATATTTTACTTATTATTTATTATGTCTGTTTTATTTATTATTAGCTTGTAACTTTACACTGCTTTTGTGGAGATAGGGCACTTAAAATATATCTGTCCCAAAGCTCTTGGAATAAATCAGTAGCTGGGAAAGAGAAATATGAGAATTCTGGTTTCCGTACCTTGCGTACTATGAATTAGCAAATCAAATCTGGAACGAAACGAATGACGTCTATCTTGCCGCTTTCGATTATAAGGCCGCTTTAGATATCTCCCTCATTCCAGCTCATGCCTTCATGGTGAAACTGTAGCACACTCGACTCGTATTCGAGAGGTCCAGGTTCGAGTACCGCTGAGGACACTGCATATTTTTCATGTCTCCTGCTTAAGGTAACCTAATGACTCTACAATAGCACACGAACTAAAAGGTGGTGGACAATAATTCGTCAACATCAGGATTTGGCGATCTGGTCCCCACATCCTCAATCGCCTTTTAAAAAAGGGAAGTATGCAAGGTATTTTCTCCCTCTTTCCAGTACTCCTTCGTGGTGTAACGGTAGAACACTCGACGTGTATTCGAGAGGTCTAAGTTCGAGTCTCGGCGAGGACACTGCACATTTTTCTTGTTTCCTGCTTCAAAATAACTTAATGACTCTACAAATTGATTAAAGCTTTTGTCTACCGTCAGACTCACTTCACTTTATAATTATTCATGAAGCCTTTTCCATGTGGTTTAAAACGCTTTATTTGCAAACATTTAAATTCATATTGCTAAAGTTAATTATTACTACCCAAGTCAAGTAGCGTCTATTTATTCTATTAGATTTTACACAGGTAAGATTGTATATAAATCTCACATTTTTTAATTTCTCAGATTATTGTGATTCTATTTTCAGAAATAATAATTGTAGACACACTAATAATACAGATTTCAAATGGTTTAGCAGTCGATAAAAGTAGAACCCCGTAGTCATATCTACGGAATAGTTTTATAATAATTTAGCATCAGTTCAAATTTGAATAAACCTGCATTTATTTAGGTTTAACTGAAAACAAAATTGATGCAGCAAAAGACACGATAGGCATAACATTTTTCATATAAGAAATGCGAAGAAAGAAATATGGCTATTAAATTATCAAAAAGTGGTAAGATTAATAGAGTGATTACTCCACTAGTCACACTTTGTTTTATTCTCCAAGATATAAGTTAAGGAACTAAGTCTAAAACTAATATCTTGAGCACAGATAAAAACCACAGCATAACATAAATTTTCACTAATCATGACAAGTTCATATCTTATATACAAAGACTTTCCAAAAAACAGTTTTTTTTTATTTATCTTACTTCTTTGATAGTAACACATTATCAAATACACGAATTTTATCGTGGCTTGAAGGCAAAAATCCTGTTTTCATAGACCCCGGGTCACCTTACAGGGGATAGCAGGAAACTTTCCAACTCTCAATTTTGAAGGAAAAGAGATCCGAGGGTCTCTCATCCTTCTTCCTCTTCCACTAACCTCTCAAAAAATGTCAGACGCCTCCATGTTTAAGTATTTCAGGTGACCCTATGTTTTAAAAGATATTAAAAATTTAATAAATATCCATGTCTTCTCCAGGAACACATTCACAAAGTATGGCAGCCGGCTTCCTTACCACTATGACAAAAGGGTGCCCCCCCAATAAAAACTGTAAAACCTTATGGGGGTGATGTTTCAACCTCCTCAGCAGATGTTACTCGCTATGTCAAAGTCTTCAGCGACATTATTTCTCTCTGGAATATATATTTTCCTTGAAATTATTCTCATCTCGGTTTAGATTTCTCTTTCCAAGATTATTATTGCCAAAAGGGGATCAAGGCAATGGTCAAATTTGCTACGCAAATGCTAATAATATCCAGGCTTGGTTTTCTTCCGAGCTAGTCCCGCTTAGTCTAAACCCTCCAAAAGAAAACGGTAAAAAAATAAAACATTTATGCAGTCAGACAATTTAAATCCCGTAGTAAATCAGAACAAAGACAGAAATCATTCAGTACCCAAACTTGTATGTTAAAGAGGTTAAATAGAACCCAATTTTCTTTCCATTTTTATATTTAACAAATATATATTCATATTAAAAAGTAACCAAATAGTTTTCTAAATTATAAGGACTGCTCATATTAGATGAAGATATAAATGACCCGTAGAGTCAATAAAGCAGATAAAAAAAAAGATCTCCTGCAGCTGGATATGAACTGAGAACTTTTCGTTTACGATGTCATCCGTGACGCTGTTGGGGTTTATTGTAATTGGAGAAACTTAAATAATATTAATTTTCTTCGACGTTAGCTCTTGTTAGAATAAATTAGCGTCTCTTTTGCATAATGAAACTGGGAAGCAGAAATCGAACGTGTGCCAAGCTATATGTTGGGCGAAAGAGGATTGTATCTATGCCCTTTTACCTCAGTCAGAGTATCAGTCACTTAGTTATTTTCTTTCTTCTGTCCTGGAAGATACTCCTGCAACTATTGTCTAATTTATAAACCTGAAGATACTTATGACTGATAAATAAGTCTATATAAGTTCTTATTTCAGCACTTCAATTTTAAATTTCGTGAAGATTGTTAATTTTTGCTCTACTTAAGCAAAATTCTTTTACTTGTTAAATAACAATTTCATAGTTATTTTAACTTATGATTCTTTAAACAATCTGAGCTAAATATATGATAGTAAACTTAAAATTCCTTAGCTGTGCTAATTAACATTAAATCACGCATCA